AAATTATAACAATATACTGCAACGAGACTCCACAATATTTAAATAAAAATAAATAATAAATTAAAAAATAAAATAATTAAAAACACAGTTAAACAGATGGACTTGAAGATTGTATAACAAAATTTGATAATACTGGCAACCTACATAATTTTGATTTTAATTTAAGTTATAAATAATTGTTCTCGGCCCGTATTTATCCTTATCTTTTATTGTGATTTATTTATTTTCTCTGGCCATAACTTCTTCTTTTGCATGTTCCTCCATAGGCCTTTGTTTTTCATAAGTAAATATTTGTTTATTTAAGTAAAAAGTCAAAGCATTTCGAAATTTGAGAAAACTTAGTTTTTTCTGACCTTTCTCACTGTTAAGAGAATTAAGTTGTAATTCCTCTGATCAAATACAAAAAAATATGAACTAAATGTCAAATTAAATCCAATATTAATGTCCAGTTGTCAATATATCACTGGGTACTAATTATCACATAATTAAATTCAACCTAAATTTACTGACAGGGTTCAGGTGATATTAACTAGCAAAGTAATCCTGGCATACAGTTTCTATTGCGCAATTTTAAAACCTAAATATGATCATTGATGTGATCATATTTAGGGGTTTTAACCGGTGAATATATTAAATTAAAAACTAAAATATATAAAAAACAAAAAATATAAAAATAATTATTTTTTTTTTAATTCACATAAAATACAACTTCGTAATTATTTTGATGCAAATCTATCCCATATACATATTTATTCCTTTATATCTGCAATTGGGAGCACCTACAATTTATGTTGTAGACTTTCATACGACTGACAATGTTAAAGCAGTGAGATATGTAATATTTTTTTTTTCATTTTAATATATGATAGCAAAAATTCCACAATATTTGAATCTCAACATATTCAATTTTTTCCAATAATTTATCCTATGATCTTCATTCATTGTTTTCAATAAACAATATCTCTTTATCACACAACGCAAAACTCATATCCCATTATTTTATCAAAACAAACGAACAAATTGGCAACCCTTATGCGACGTTCATGGCGTGTATCCATAAAACAACAAACGGACTAGTTTCAAATAAACGATATATTACAATGAGCAAAACAGAAATTATATATTCTATATATTCTTCATACACTTACCTAGTTTCTTTTTTGATTTTAATTGTTTCAATATTATTAGTTATTTCAACAATTGATAGTCTTTAATACGTAAACAAACATTTAATTCATAAATTGCTCTTCTTGTGTTTGAACTTTTTCATATGTTTTCATGTTCAGTTGTGTTTCACGATTTTTGTTTATTTTTCTTTAATGTAAATTTCTTTATTGACAATAACCTTAGTAGTGAAAAGAATATTTTTGTTTTTATAAAAACAAATTTTTTAGTACATGAAAGAAAAAATTAATACAACTATCCGCTACACTTCAGCCGTATGCCGTCAAACTACAAACATTGAATGCACAGCTGTGTTGAGTTGACAATTCATTTAATGTCAGTGGTCTAGAGTGATGCCAAGTCCTATAAATAGATCTTGAGTGATGCCAAATACATACCCCAATACTTACTGAACACAGCCCACCTTGTATAACTGGCAGCACACGCAATAATTGAACACATTACATATTTGGAAATTGAGCAAATGTGTAATTAGAAATTGAAATATCAATTTGGAAGGGAAAAAATCATTATTTTTGGTGCAAAATCAGGTTAATCTTGGCAATGCTATTAATTATTAAAACGCGTAGGTGTTTGGAACAAAATGTATAATAAATTTACATTGTATTGGATTTCGTTAACCCATTGGGTTTAAATTGTCAATTCACTTACATATATGTCAAATAAATCCATCTAAAATAACCCGGTAAAAAGTTCTAATGTACGTGCAGTTTTAGTTTCTTAATCGAGGTACCAAATTATAATCAAGAAGCGTACCGAACGCAGGGTAAACATCCAAGCGGCAAATAGGACTCCTTAGCCTAAGGAAGGGAAACAATGTTTAGAATAAAGAATCTACCAAGATTATTTTTGTTTATTCTACTTACCAATAGGGAAACACATTATCATTATGCCATTACGATATTTATTCTCTCCCAAATTGATGCGTTCGTGAACGCCTTTCGTTCGACCGGCGCAAAATGCGATAAATATGTTTCAGTTTGTTAATCGAGGTACCAAATTCTAGCTGTTTAGACTGGCACTATAATCACATTTGTCAGCTGTTGATTTGTTCACTGCATCTATAATTTCTGTTGTAATTTTTTTAATCAAAATGTTTTTTTTTTTTTTTTTGTTCCAAAATCAGGGTTGTATTTGAAAATATTTTGATCAAGGTTGTATTTGAAAATGTCTGTAGAATTTGGAGCAAATGGAGATATTGAGTGGACTTAATTTTGTATTTAGCAATTCAATCGCAATACTGCCCATTATAACAATACAATTTACAGTCTAAGGATGGCTTAAGATGAACTACAAAAAAACAACTCTGCTTGTAGTGGTTTCTTTCGTCATTTCTTCCCTAAGTCGAGTACAGAATACTAACAAAAAAAAAGGCTTATAAATTAGAACATTTTACCGGGTTAAACTACTTTATGATGATTTAAACGGCATATACACTAGAACATTTTACCGGGTTTATGAGGATTTATTTGACATATATGCAAAGGAATTGACAATTGAAACCCACTGGGTTAACGAAATCCCGTTAAATGTAAACGTACTATTATTTGATTTATATGCAAATGAATTGACAATTGAAACCCACTGGGTTAACAAAATTCTGTTAAATGTAAACGTACTATTAAATTATTCGCCAGAGAATATTTAGAGAACTATTAGCCAACTTCGATTATTTTCCTTACCTCTGTTGTGTATTTTATGAATTATTTTCCAGATTTTCTGTTTGAAAAACAAAAAACTCAAATGGTAAACTGTGATCAATTGTGGAGAAATGTGGCTAGATCTATATAAATATCGTACATTGGATGGTCCAAATAATCTCCATTTTCGAAATAAACAAGTTTTAAGAAAAAAATGCTGGAAAATTACTGACATGATGAGAAATACTGCAAATACCCTATATCGAAATTGTACTGTCAAATGTGTTGTAGCCTTAAAGAATTTGGAATTCCAAATATGGACTACTATTGGCAAAGAATTTTGTCACCCTCCGAGAATCCGGAATGCCTTGTCTCGAAAGAAAAAGTAAACGTATATTGTTTCTTTACTAATTGGGTTTATGTATGACGAAAAAGCTGTCATCATGCGAACGAGAATGTCAAATTCACTCACTTGCTTTATAGCTTTCGAATGAATTGCTAAATCGCGAACTATGTACCAAAATTTGAATCACTTTCACACAACACAATCTCTATGCTCCAAATAATTTTTGGAACATGTTTTATAGCTATCGCTTGGATTTTTCATTCATGTTTACTGAAAATTTCCATTTGACATTTTTGTATATTCAAATGTGTGATGGTATTTATGTAGTTCGTTCTCATTTCCCATTTGGCTCTCATTTATTGAACATTGTTGTAAAACTTTACATTTAATTTAGTAGTTTTACGAATGGTATACGTAACGGCAAAGAACGATAGCTTTCGAAGTACATGAACGCTTTTTTAAACGAAAGTGAGTGAGTTACTTTCTTTCGTATTGATTTTCGTTCGAAATAGAAAAACAGGCTGTAAGAGAACTTACAGGCTTGACATGTTAAGAAGATTTCTTTTATTGTAAAAGAATAAAGGAGAACGGCGTCCAAAGTCAAGTTTGACTCTTACAATTCATATGAAGTCAACATAACAGGGCAGGCCTAAATCCTCGTAAGTGTTTTCCCCTTCATTTCCCTTTATATAGTAAGGGCAAATAAATGTTTGCCCGAAAAACAGCATATATTTACCTTAAGTTGTTCCCTTTTTGGGCAAACTTTTTAGCTTGCTTTCAAATAATTTTGTTTTGGTTATTTTGTGGTCAGGTTATGACAAAGAAATATTTGAAACTTTTCGTCAAAAAATTGCCTAATGTGACCTAACCTTACGGTGAAGATGCACTTTTCTTTGACTTGGTGTGTGTAATTTTCGGTTTCGAGGCTATCCGTCGAAAAGAAATACTTATATTCACCAATTTTGTTAAATTTTACTTAAAAACTGTTCCTGCACTCATAAAACTAGTAACCAAAATTAAGAGAACACTATCCAAAATGGCGTTCTCTTTGTAAATTTGTTACTCGAGAAATTTGGCCGATTAAAAATGGTAACCAGAAATGCCAACTTCTGAATGTCTGTTGTGTCGATTTTGAAGAATTGTCCTTTTTTGTCGATTTCTTGCTGTTCATTATAAATAATTTATTAGATGGCTGCCGAACGACCACACATTCAATCAAGCAAACATCGAATGTTTGCAAGATAGACGAGCAAATCTTATTCTCTGGCAAAATTGCCTTAGGTGAGTTAGAACATGTTAAAGCTACGTTTAGACTACTAAATCCACTAGGTCTCATATTCACAAATGCAGTGAATTATATTTGACGTATACGCTATTAAATTGACATTTGAGATCGATCGATTTCGTAAATTTAAATTTATCAAACCTAACCTTAATTTTTCTTGCTTTTCTTCTTTAATGCTTCTTTTTTCATTATCTTTTTAGTATATAGACCATGGACATAATGTCTTTCATCGCACCTAATCATGAAACAAGCTAAATATGGAAATTCTCATTCAACAGTGATAGCTTACACTGCTTTTCACCATAAGCGTCTTCCTTGTAAACGTTATCTAATTAAAGACTGCAACGCTGCAAAGTAAACACCTAAACTACGTTACTTGTTTCACTAATTCAGTGCCAAACAAATTACAACACTGTATCACTTATAGACTTTTACGCTTACCAACACTGTTAGACCTGAAAGAAAATAAACACACAACACACGTGTTTGTAACCCAAGTGAATAGATCTATTTTCTGCTGTTAATTATTTTTATTACCTAAAAACCTTATAAAAATGTATTTGATGTACACTTTGAACGAAAATGGTGAACGTGTTTACACCTTGAAGGTAATATAGATAAAACAATTTCATGGATACATGTATTTACCCACATTTTTTCTCCTTTCCAGAAACGTACTGAAGATGGACGCCCCACAATCTCTGCCCATCCAGCACATTTCTCACCCGAGGACAAATACTCCAGACAACGTTTAACCATTAAGAAACGTTTTGGTTTGCTGTTAACACAAAAACCAGAACCTGTCTATTAAGTTTCCAAAAATTTTATTTCAAATTTTCCTAGTTTGTAATTGATAAAAATATACATATTTTATAAGACTTAACAGCACATTGTTCATATATGTGTATTAGAAATAAATAACTTGCTTTATTGCATTTTCTACATATAAAGAAAACAAAGTGTTGTTTTTTCAGTTAGAAACGTCTATTCAATCCGGCAGTGTAATCATACAATCGTGCATTCTTAAATTCTCCTCGCATATCAAGTACATAGAAGAGGGAACGATTTCGTACTTTGAGAGGTAAATGTACTTTGGCAATTTCACGCGGCTGTTGGGCTGAGACATCTTTTAAAGGGACGGTCATAATGCGATTGTGGCCAAAGGGGCCGTATGTCACAATTGTGACATCTTTACCTCCTTTTCGTAGAATCAAGAAACGTACCGAACGCAGGGTAAACATCCAGGCGGCAAATAGGACACCATAGCCTAAGGGAGGGAAGGGATACAAATTTTTAGAATAACAGAACCCACAAAAAATTGTTTGTTTTTATTCTACTTACCAATGGCAAAACACATTATCGTAATACCATTACGATATTTATTCTCTCCCAAATTGATGCGTTCGTACCAGGCCAATTCCTGGCCCTCTTTTTGTTCGACCGGTGCATCACGCAATGACGTAAAAGCAAAATGCGATAAATATGTCCAAAATGTAAATTGACAAATACCGAATATGTTGATAATTTTGAAAAATTTAGGATTTTCATATTTGTACATAATAACATCTTTGGCAACATTTGTATTTACATCATAAGCCCGGCTGCAGTATTGTTTTGGAGAGCTGCCTTGTTTGGGTTTTACGTTGAATGTCAACGCTTCTTTTAGCCGGTGCACCAATGAAGATTGTTGACTGAACAGTCGTACATTTTGTGGCTGGCAGTGAGAACTTTTTATGGGATTTATTAATAAACGCAGTAAACTGCTCATTTTTTGATATATCTTTATCGTTGGTTTTTATTTTTATTTAACTTTTTAAACATAACCTAAAAAATCGTAACAGCTGTTTTGCAAATTAACAACAGAAGGCAATGTTACCAGATGTGGATGCTGAATATAAGCAGAAGACGAATTAGACAAACGTAACTTTTGCAATGCATTTTGTAACCACTATATTTCAGAACCTCAGCTTCAGGGAACCTCTGGGTTTGAATGGTTTGGTCCATCTCGTTGTGTATTGTTTAGAATATCATTTCAAATAAATTCAAATTAAATTTAATTATACTAGAATATAATTGTAATGCAAATGATTTTTACCGCGTTCGACTGGAAGTAAACTTTTGTTATGGATGAAAAAACATTTCATGGTATTCCCTACTGGATTTTAGGATGAAATTATAATATTTCATCGTCTTTTTAAGGTAAGTGTAGAAACAATTTTTATTATTTATAGTCGTTTTTTTGTTATTAACCTCAATTTGTCCTACCCTGATTTATTTTACCTTTAAATCCACTTGACCGCAATTATAACGATGCCGATCTACCTCATAGCTATAAAACTCACTGCAGAGATTATCATATGTAACGACAGTTCCCGGTTTCGTACATCCAATTGGGATATTAATGGGGTGAACAGTGAAGTTTATGTAAATATCAGGGAGAGAAAAATTCTAATTCTACTTAATAAAAGGCAAAGACTGTTTGGAAAACCGTCAACCATGCCAAGATGTTCGAGGACCAATCTAAAATTTCTTCCATTTGAGGAATATGAAAATATCTGCCACCAAATCTACAGACACACTGTTCACCATTTGGACGACTGAAATGAAGCTTCCACTGGTCGATGGAGAACCGATTCCGATCACAAATTACCTCAATATACTGGGTGTAACCATCGATAGCCTTTTCAAGTCCGATAAGTAGAGGACGGCAACTCCTGGAAAGCTGACAATGAAACCTTGTTGAACAATGGGTCGGTCAGTGGTGATTTACTCATGTAAGCGAATGCTGCCTTGAACTACAACATACACCCTGTTGTAGTTCAAGGCAGCATGACACCAGTAGACCACCTCCATGACGAAACGAACATCATACACAACCTTAACCGACGAAGGATTTCAACCAGACCTTATATTGGGCCAAAGGAAGGTACCGAGCCACACACCAGTAATAGGCAACGATATCCAACCAACTAGCTAGAAATGCTGCAGCACTACCCACAATAGATGTGAGCAATGCCAAACCCTTTACCCTCGTTCCAAACCCTTTAGGAACGAGGGTATGGGGTGATCCAAATGAAGACAAAACTTAGCAAATCCTAACGCTAAACAAAAAAGAAATAAGCAGATTGATGGGTATTCTTATGGTACACCTCAACCACAAGATTGGATGCTAGGGTAGAAGCAGGTGGAATATAGTGAAACGCTGGAGCGTTTCCAATGCCCAGCATTTGCAGGCCTTCGAACACAATGACAAGGACTAACCGATCCTAATAAATAGAGAATTCTTAGAATAATAGGGAGATCAGCCTAATATGTTTAATCTAAATTCCCTAATTCTAAATTTCTTTTCATCTCTAGAGCGCACAACAGGTCTAAACTGGCCTAAGTGTATGTCCTTTTTTTATTGGACATGTGGTGGTATTATCCACCCCTCCTTGCCAAATTCTATGTAGTTTTAATTTATATGGACCAAAGACCTACGAGTGAAATCGAAAAACAAACCTGTGGTATTCGGTTTTTTGAAATCATAAATTTTTTTGTTCGTCATTCGGTGGCCAATATTTCATACTAAAAATTACCACTATTGGTCCACGATCATATCTACTGTTTTAGGAACATTTTCGAACCGAAGTGGCTATAGTGGCTGTGATTAAGTATTCCGGGATCTTGGAGGGTTATAACTTCTTCACATAACCTTTTCAATATAAGTTAATGTATCTGCATAGCGCCTATACTAATATCATGTACCATTTTGGGCTTCATATTCATTGCAATATATCTTAGTGGTGTATATGCGATCCTCCAGAATTTGCAGGAATCGAAAATTTCTCAAATTATATTTGATTTTTAATTTAGTCGTTCAAATTTGATAAAGCCTTTCAATATAAAGGGGGGATTGATAATTACTTAATTTATACATTTACGGAAACTAAAACCTCTGGCAACACCACAACAATCCAATTCACTACACCACCCACCAGCACCATCAGCAGCTATCATATGTATTAGAGTTGGGCAATCTAGTTCAAAAAGGAAGGAGAAAGATCGATCTGCTTATCTTCCTCGTTTCTTTTTTAAAAAGGAACTAGTTCCTTAATGTTCCTTTGCTCTTTAAGGGCTAAGCCATGATCCAATAAACAGGTCGTGTCAGAAGCAATCGTTATCGACAATTTAGGAGTAAAATCCACCACCTGCGTGAAGTTAGCGATATCGCTAACTTTCGATAACAAAATTTTTATCGAAATTACAGGGTGACACAGAACATCAGAATTTCACGTTTAATACTATTTCTATCAACAGTGCTTTCCAACAGAGATAGCGCAGAATATTATAAATTAATATATTTTTTTTAAATTATTACTAAAAATGTTAACATAATTCATTAGTAATGAAAACTAATAAAAAATACGAAGATTTTGAAACATATTTTATTATAATCTAAACCTAAAGTATTACTAAGTCACAAACATTTTAATCCAGTGAATCAGGAGAGATGTCCGCCTCTGGAAGCCTCCCTATATAAACCTCGAACATAGTGATGGTACCAAATGAAAGAGGGAGTCTCTACGAGTATTTTGGTATGCACCATTTGATCAAATTCAGTTTTTTGTAGAACAAAGTTGTTGATCAGGACACAAAAATGGCTCTGGAAGCCTCCCTATACAAACCTCGAACATAGTGATGGTACCAAATGAAAGAGGGAGTCTCTACGAGTATTTTGGTATGCACCATTTGATCAAATTCAGTTTTTTGTAGAACAAAGTTGTTGAATTTCTGATTTCCAACTGGTGGTCAGGACACAAAAATGGCTCTGGAAGCCTCCCTATACAAACCTCGAACAAAGTGATGGTACTAAATGAAAGAGGGAGTCTCTACGAGTATTTTGGTATCCACCATATGTTCAGATTCAGTTTTTTGTAGAACAAAGTTGCTGAATTTCTGATTTCCAACTGGTGGTCAGGACACCAAACTGGCTCTGGAAGCCTCCCTATACAAACCTCGAACATAGTGATGGTACCAAATGAAAGAGGGAGTCTCTACGAGTATTTTGGTATGCACCATTTGATCAAATTCAGTTTTTTGTAGAACAAAGTTGTTGAATTTCTGATTTCCAACTGGTGGTCAGGACACAAAAATGGCTCTGGAAGCCTCCCTATACAAACCTCGAACATAGTGATGGTACCATATGAAAGAGGGAGTCTCTACGAGTATTTTGGTATGCACCATTTGTTCAAATTCAGTTTTTTGTAGAACAAAGTTGTTGAATTTCTGATTTCCAACTGGTGGTCAGGACACAAAAATGGCTCTGGAAGCCTCCCTATACAAACCTCGAACAAAGTGATGGTACCAAATGAAAGAGGGAGTCTCTACGAGTATTTTGGTATGCACCATTTGTTCAAATTCAGTTTTTTGTAGAACAAAGTTGTTGAATTTCTGATTTCCAACTGGTGGTCAGGACACAAAAATGGCTCTGGAAGCCTCCCTATACAAACCTCGAAGACAGTGATGGTACCAAATGAAAGAGGGAGTCTCTACGAGTATTTTGGTATGCACCATTTGTTCAAATTCAGTTTTTTGTAGAACAAAGTTGTTGAATTTCTGATTTCCAACTGGTGGTCAGGACACAAAAATGGCTCTGGAAGCCTCCCTATACAAACCTCGAACACAGTGATGGTACCAAATGAAAGAGGGAGTCTCTACGAGTATTTTGGTATCCACCATATGTTCAGATTCAGTTTTTTGTAGAACAAAGTTGCTGAATTTCTGATTTCCAACTGGTGGTCAGGACACCAAATGGCTCTGGAAGCCTCCGTATACAAACCTCGAACAAAGTAAGGGTACTAAATTAAAGAGGGAGTCTCTGCGAGTATTTTGGTATCCACCATATGTTCAGATTCAGTTTTTTTGTAGAACAAAGTTGCTGAATTTCCAACTGGTGGTCAGGACACCAAAATGGCTCTGGAACCTCCGTATACAAACCTCGAACAAAGTAAGGGTATCAAACGAAAGAGGGAGTCTCCAAGAGTATTTTGGTATCCACCATATGTTCAGATTCAGTTTTTTGTAGAACAAAGTTGATGAATTTCTGATTTCCAACTGGTGGTCAGGACACAAAATGGCTCTGGAAGCCTCTCTACGCAAACCTCGAACATAGTGATTGTACCAAATGAAAGAGGGAGTCTCTACGAGTATTTTGGTATCCACCATATGTTCAAATTCAGTTTTTTGTAGAACAAAGTTGGTGATTTTCTGATTTCCAACTGGTGGTCAGGAGACAAAAATTGCTCTGGAAGCCTCCCTATTCAAACCTCGAACATAGCGATGGTACCAAATGAAAGAGGGAGGCTCTACGAGTATTTTGGTATGCACCATATGTTCAGATTCAGTTTTTTGTAGAACAAAGTTGCTGAATTTCTGATTTCCAACTGGTGGTCAGGACGCGAAATTTGCTCTGGAAGCCTCCCTATACAAACCTCGAACAAAGCGATGGTACCACATGAAAGAGGGAGTCTCTACGAGTATTTTGGTATGCACCATATGTTCAGATTCAGTTTTTTGTAGAACAAAGTTTCTGAATGTCTGATTTCCAACTGGTGGTCAGGACACAAAAATGGATCTGGAAGCCTCCTTATACATACCTCGAACATAGTGATGGTACCAAATGAAAGAGGGAGTCTCTACGAGTATTTTGGTATGCACCATAGGTTCAGATTCAGTTTCTTGTAGAACAAAGTTTCTGAATTTCTGATTTCCAACTGGTGGTCAGGACACAAACTGAATTTGAACATATGGTGGATACCAAAATACTCGTAGAGACTCCCTCTCTCATTTGGTACTATCACTATGTTCGGGGTTTGTATAGGGAGGCTTCCAGAGCCAATTTTGTGTCCTGACCACCAGTTGGAAATCAGAAATTCAGCAACTTTGTTCTACAAAAAACTGAATCTGAACAAATGGTGCATACCAAAATACTCGTAGAGATTCCCTCTTTCATTTGGCACCCTTACTTTGTTCGAGATTTGTATAGGGAGGCTTCCAGAGCCATTTTGGTGTCCTGACCACCAGTTGGAAATCAGAAATTCAGCAACTTTGTTCTACAAAAAACTGAATCTGAACATATGGTGCATACCAAAATACTCGTAGAGCCTCCCTCTTTCATTTGGTACCATCACTATGTTCGAGGTATGAATAGGGAGGCTTCCAGAGGCGGACATCTCTCCTGATTCACTGGATTAAAATGTGATTTAGTAATGCTTTAGTTTTAGATTATAATAAAATATGTTCCAAAATGTTCATATTGTTTATTATTTTTCATTACTAATGAATTATGTTAACATTTTTATTAATAATTTTGAAAAATTATTATTTTATAATATTCTGCGCTATCTCTGTTGGAAAGCACTGTTGATAAAAATAGTATTAAACGTGAAATTGTGATGTTCTGTGTCACCCTGTAATTTCGATAAAAATTTTGTTATTGAAAGTTAGCGATGTCGCTAACTTCACGCAGCATTTTGACAGCTCGGGTGAAATCATCTGGCCTTATCGGACGACCTTATTATTGGATCATGGGCTAAGCAGAATATTCGCGTTGAGCGTTTTTATACCCTTCACCACACTGTGGTACAGGGTATTATGTCTTTGTGCATATGTTTGTAACAGGCAAAAATAATCGAGATAGACCCATGGTTCCTTTTGAGAATATGCATAGAATCACTTTCTGAATCGATTTATGCATGTCCGTCCGTCTGTCCATGTTAAATTGTAAACAAAGTACAGGTCGCATTTATGATCCGATTTGGATGAAATTTGGCACAGCTCATTTGTTTGGCCCAAGGACGAACCCTATTGAAATTGGGAAAAATCGGTTCAGATTTAGATATAGCTCCCATATATATTTTTGCCCGATTTACGGACTTTAGACCCTGAAAATCTTTCGATTTGCACGAAATTTGGCATAGCGTACTGAATTGAGCCACGAAAGATGTGTGCCAAGTTTCGTGAAAATCGGTTCAGATTTATATATAGCTCCCATATATAGTTTCGCCCGATTTACGGACTTTAGACCCTGAAAATCTTTCGATCTGCACGAAATTTGGCATAGCGTACTGAATTGAGCCACGAAAGATGTGTGCCAAGTTTCGTGAAAATCGGTTCAGATTTAGATATAGCTCCCATATATAGTTTCGGCCGATTTTTGGTAAATGGCGTACCAAAGTCCCTATATATCTTTCGATTTGCACGAAATTTGGCATAGCGCACTGAATTAAGTCTAGAATGATGTGTGCAAAGTTTCGTGAAAATCGGTTCAGATTTAGATATAGCTCCCGTATATATCTTCCTCCGATTTAAGGTAAATGGTGTACCAAAGTCCTTATATATCTTTCGATTTGCATGAAATTTGGCATAACGTACTGAATTGAGGCTAGAATGATGTCTGCCCAGTTTCGCGAAAATCGGTCCAGATTTAGATATAGCTCCCATATATAGTTTCGTCCGATTTCAAGTTAATGGTGCCCCAAAGTCCCTATATATCTTTCGATTTGCAGGAAATTTGGCATAACGTACTGAATTGAGCCTAGAATGATGTCTGCCCAGTTTCGAGAAAATCGGCCCAAATTCAGATATAGTTTCGTCCGATTTCATGTAAATGGTTCACCAAAGTCCCTATATATCCTTCGATATATTTGGATAGAGCTTCCATATATATTTTCGCCCGATTTTAAGTAAATTGGACATCAAACTCTTCATGCTAGTCAGGTTGACATCAAATTTTGCACAACGTACAAAATTGAGCATAGAATTACGTAGTTGCGTTTTCTAGAAGTACAGACATAGCCCAACAGATAACCTATTTATATTTGATTGAAGTCGATTTATATAACTTATGGATATATAGGTAGATTCACATTTAGATAAATATCACATATTTTATTTCATCCAATTTCATGTTAATAGTCCTGTTTAATATATCCATAGTGGTGAAGGGTATCATATAGTCGGCCCCGTCCGACTTTACTACTTTCCTTACTGGTTTCTTATCGCGTTAACGTACGCAAAAAGTTAAAATATATTTTACTCCGAAGCGCAGCGCACATCAACTTCGAGCGTTTGTGTCATTGTTTCCTTGTGGTTGTTGTATTTTCGGTAACATATAACGCGACGGATGGCTCAACACGAGTATTCTGCTTAGCCCTTTTTTACTCGCGTAAAAATTCTAAAAGTTACAAATATTACATAAAAAATGGCACAAAAAGGCAACGTAGCTGTTAATTTCTTCAAAAGCATTTACCACAATGAATTCCAATGGTAAATATCGTACAACTCATACATAAATTGAAAAATACCAACATCTAACCTAATATGACAATATTTACAATATTTTCTTTTCTTCGATTCCCATAGGTCGGTGGTCAAAAGTTTCGGACTATTCTTCTTGGGTATTCGCATTGCCAAAGAATTTGCCGGAGTGGAAATAATGCCAGCCATTGCCCATTAGACGCCCACCCCCCACATTTGTTCAATAATTTTTAGATGTTAAGAATATAACTTTTTCCCAATGAAATTGAAATATTGAAAACTACAAAAGATTGGTGTTTTTATTGTTTTTGGCCAACCAATGTCGTGTATGTATTTCGTGGTGTTACATTTCTATTAAAAAAAAGAAAACAAACTGATAAAAATTATAACAAAAATGTGTCTATTTAACTAAAATTAAGAAAATAACTTTTTAACAGGGGTTTTGTTTGTTCTAGGCAGTAAATAGTTTGGTTAAGCATCGGTTTTCAGCATATGCTTAATTTTATCATTGTTTATGTCAATTTCATTGATTAGACTTTGCGCCAGATTTTGGGGTGTGAGATCACGTTTTAGGAAGTTTGCCACCAGTTGTCGTGAGGGTACGCCACCACCGTGGGCCAAAACTTCTTGACGATATTTTTCACCAGCTTCACGATTGAAAGGATTATCTTCGAAATAGGTTTGCCATATCCAGGATGCAATTGTTTTCGATATTAAATAGGAATAGTATTTGGCTCCATAGCCCACCAAATGGGAGAAACGTAATTGCCAGGCCTAGAAGATAAACAAAAAATTAAAAATTTAAAAACAATTTAAAATCAAACACAAGAAAGAAATTAAGTCTTAAGTCATATGAAGGTACGGTCCCGAATCGTATACTATAAGTAGGACTAGGAGTTATGGGCCTCAAAAGTACCGTTGGGACCAATGCATACCCAATGACAATATAGGTAAAATATGGATGCGATTGGAGTCAAGTTTGCTATAAAATTCTATTTCTCGTAATAGTTACTCACAAAGATCCTGTCACGGTGCAGGTGTTAGTCTCTGTCGGTCCTGAAATATAGATCTACAATGAGCCGTTGGGACTAATATAGATATAGATTTAGCTCCCATATATATTTTCGTCCAATTTAATGCATATGGTGAACCAAAGTCCCTAAATATCTTTCGATATGAACGAAATTTGGTATAGCGCACTGAATTAAGTTTAGAATGTTGTGTGCAAAGTTTCGTGAAAATCCGTTCACATTTAGATATAGCTCCTATATATATTTTCGTCCGATTTAAAGTAAATAGTGCACCAAAGACCCTATATATCCTTCGATATGCACGAAATTTGGCATAGCGTACTGAATTGAGTCTAGAATGATGTGTGTTAAGTTTCGTGAAAATCGGATCAGACTTAGATGTAGCTCCCATATATATTTTCGTCCGATTTAATGTAAATGGAGTACCAAAGTCTCTATATATCTTTCGATTTGCACGAAGTTTGGCATAGCGTACTAAATTAAGTACATAATGATCTGTGTTAAGTTTCGCGAAAATAGGTTCAGATTTAGATATAGCTCCCATATATAGTTTTGTCCGATTTTATGTACCAAAGCCCCTATATATCTTTCGATTTGCACGAAAATTTGCATAGCGTGCTGAATTGTGTCTAGAATGTGTGTTAAGTTTCGTGAAAATCGGTTCAGATTTAGATATAGCTCCCATATATTTTTTCGTCCGATTTAATGTAAATGGTGCACCAAAGTCCCTAAATATCTCTCGATTTACACAAAGTTTAGCATAGCGTACTGAATGATGTGTGTTAGTTTTCGTGAAAATCGGTTCAGATTTAGATATAGTTTTGGCAGGAAAAAATTAAATCGTAGTATTCTCGCCGTTTGGAACCACACTGATCTTTAGCATGACTTATCCCACAACAACTTACCGTATTTTCTACATATGGCAAACTGTAGTAATCGCTTTGTACATTTTTCAAAGTCTCTGTGGTAGTTGCTCCCTGTTTCGATGGATCACCATGATAGATTTGATCCAATGCCGAATAGAACACCTGCAGTTGAGTTTCACTGGCAGAGAAAAGGTTCTTTGAGGCACACAGCCTTTGCAACATATCCTCTGACATAGGTTTATGGGTCTGGAAATGTTTGGCAAAGGTACGCACCACCCGGGGATCACTAGCAAAATACTCCATCAATACGGAAGGCACTTCAGCAAAATCGGTGGAGCATCTGGTACCCGTAACATGTTGATATTCTGTGCGTGCCAACATCGAATGCATTGCATGACCCATTTCATGGAACAAGTTATCCACTCTGGAGGGTGTCAATAGTGTTGGCCCCGTCCACCGTGGTTGTGAGAGGTTTAACATTACCACCACTATTGGTAATTGATATGAACCATCCGCTAATCGCTTGCCACCTTGTATGGTAAAATGACAATCTTGATTTGGTTTACCATTTCTTTCAAAGAAATCACAATAGATGTAACCGAGCAGACCCTCCTTTTCATGTACCACCGACAACTTGTAGATATCATTATGCCATGATTCTCCCGGTTGCATTTCGGTATTTTGTAGGCTAATACCATACAGGGAACGCATTAAATTATCCAAACCTTGCATGCAGCCACCTAAACTGAAGTATGGTAAAAATTCATTGGCGTTGGCATTCAATGCGTTCCGTTTCATGAGTGAAGTAAAGTAGGGTGTATCCCAGGCTGCAAGAGTGGCATTTTTCACGCCACTTTCTTTGCGTTTCATTTCTTCCATTACACGAAAATCGGCATCAGCTCGTGGCCTTAATTCCCGCGTCAATTCATCAATAAATTCCTTGACCATTTCAGGACTCTCCACAGTACTGGAGTTTAGGGCACGATGGGCATATGTTTGGAAGCCACATATCTTACCCAAAGCATGACGACATTTCAAAAGATCCGTAAGCAGTTCCTCTTGCCTTTCCGAAGGATATAAATACAATTTGTAGGCGGCTTCCCGAGCCAAGCCATTAGTTGAATTTGTGTAAAGACCGGATACTAGAATTTGATCTCCTTCCGTAGGGAAATAATTCCTAATAGATTCGGGAACTTGTAAACGTGGAAATGCTGTTGGCTGTACAGCTCCATGCATGAACTTTTGACCCAATTGCAAAATATAATCATTCAGACGTACCACCTTTTCCCTCTCCTCTTCTATCAGATGAATACCAGACTGTTCAAAATCAAAGAGGAACAATTTGGAGACATGTTTATCTACCTCGGTTGTGGGCACAATATCTCCATTATGGGCCACATTACTCAAGGCCATAAACAATTCTTTGTGGGTATTCAAATGTTCCACAATACCACTAATGCTGATGCAAGCATCCTCCGCCGCCTGGGCATATTTACTCTGGGGATGAGCCACACGTATAAATTCCGATAAATCGGCCACTTTACACAAGGAATCGGATAGTTCATCAAAGATTTGTACCATTTTCCGTTGACGATTCGGCGATATGGCCTCCTGTATTAATTGTTCGGTGTGATTGGTGACATTGTCTTTCAACAAATAGAAACCTTCATGGTTTTTCAACTCCGGCATACAAAAGAGACCCTGTAAATAAGAGCATAAAGGTGAATGATATAAGTGGTTCTGGTAAATTGTATTACATCTGACTTACCGCTTCATTACGTGTAAAATTGATTTTCTTATATGGCGGTGAATTAAAGGCCGTTGCCAATGGGGTCCAGGTTGTAACGGATTTCCTCCAACATTGTTGCAGTAACACCACAGTGGGCTTTTTCAGCAGTGTCATAGTGTATTTTTAAAGTTTAAGAATGAAATGAAGAGCAAATCTATTTGCGTTTTGTTTGAGACCACGGCGAATTCGAGGAATGTTTACTTTTTCCCTCTAGAAACAGCTGATATAACAGAAAATAGAGGGGGTTTCAGTGATGTCAACTCAAAGTTGAAAAAAATCAGAATATTATGAATTTTTCATAAATGAAAATCGAAGCGATAAGTTATGTTCCTATTGAGATTCTTATCTTTTCTGATCGTACGTCTCAGGTTTTTGAAGAGAGTAGTAGCCAAACATAGAGTGAAACCAAAAATGGAATTTTCTTGAGTGATCTTTGCGATTCACATCGACTTCGGAATTCCGATTAATTACATGCGATATCATGTTTAAATCGTCCATGCAAGCCAAAGCTGTCAGACAGAAGCCAAAAAGTAGAAGCAGGACCTCAAGTTGTTTTCCGGAAAAAACTTTGGAGCAGGCAAGGACATTTTATTAACCTTTTATAAACAGATCGGTAGTGCTACGTTACAGGAGACGTATTGTCCATTGTGAAGGATAAAAGATGATGGTGATAGAAAAGAGCAGTAGGTTAAATATAGTTAAATAATGTTGGAGTCTATTTTAGAGAGAAAAGGTTAGCGTTACTATATCGAATTCCCTAAAAAAGTTTATGCCTTCTGCATCGAAGTATTGTTAAATGATTTTGTGGTCTTTTTTGGAGAAAAAAAGTTAGCGTTTCTACTTCGAATCTCCCAAAAAGTGTATACCTTCTGCATCGAAGCATGGGGCATCGACAAAGTAAATGTTCGATCGTTTCTGTTTCCTCTTCATCCTCACATAGATTACAATAATTCACTTCGTTAATCTGAAGTGACCGAATTTTGTCAAAAGTATCTAACAGTGCCCTAAATTGAATGCGATCCACATCGAGCACGCTCAAAAGCTGTTTTATTTCGAAATCTAACAAAATGTCGCATATCCTGCAAAGTTTTTTTACACTCATGAACATCCCTAGAGTTTATAGTCCACGATATAATTGCTTTGAGTGCCGCGTGACTGTCGCCAAAAATAGTTACCGGTACCGAGTCACTAGTACACAGGTCCTTGACTAACTCCGTTGCTTTCAGGGTTGCTAAATTAAATTATTAAATTAAATTATTATTTAGTTTCTGTTTCATTATTGAACCGCCTGTGTATATTGACAGACCGTCAAGAGGAGGAAGTTCACCCGCCCAGGACTTTCTGCTTGGCATTGTTATTCTAAAGGCTAAGCAGAATGCTCGCGTTGAGCCATCCGTTGCGTTTTGTGTTATCGAAAATACAACAACCACAAGGAAACGATAACACTAACGCATGAAGTTGATGTGCGCTGCGCTTTGAAGTTAAATATATTTTAACTTTTTGCGTGCGTTAACGCGATAACAAAAAACGCTCAACGCGAACATTCTGTTTAGCCCTTAAATTCCTCAAAATTAAGGTGCCTTAAATTTCTATTGTGACAGAGTTCGTAATCTCTTCTAAAGTTTGGGACATTTCTGTGCTCATTGTGTGAAGTTCGCCATGTCGCTATATCCTTCATCATAAATGTGTTTCTAGTTAACGAATAAAGTGCCTGAAGATTTATTATCGCATTCATAACAGCCTGAATAGTGCTTCTAGGTGCTCGGGCTACAAGGATTGCTGGCAATATTTGCACACTACTTAAAGCGGTGTACACACTATCATTTTTGACTGTCAACTTTTTTATCGATTACTGACTGTCCAACAACCATAAATATTTTTGTGGTTGCCTGATGAATGACAAACATGTGAGGCCACACTATCAAACAAGCAAAATTTGGGCAAGAGTGCCATTCAAAAATGATAGTGTGTACACCGCAACAACACAAGGAAACGATAACACAAACGCATATCGTTTCCTTGTGGTTGTTGTATTTTCGATAACATATAACGCAACGGATTGCTCAACGCGAGCATTCTGCTTAGCCCTTAATTTCTCTTCCTCAGTGCCTCCCACCACCAAAGAAGAAATCCATAGGTATGAATGGGAAATACAACTGCATCGTAAGGCCAGAGTACGATGTGCGCTGACAGTCCCTATTGAGTTCATGCAAGAGTACAGTGCTATTAAACAATTCCGCTAGATTCCTTTTCCACGATAAACGGTGGTATTTGGAACGAACAAAATTTAAAATTTGTAAAGGTCATTGCACTTCTAAACGATCTATAGAATCCTATTACATGTTATCAGTTAATAGTGAATTTCTTACCACCAAGAAGAAGAATTTTCCTTTTCTTTCATTTTACACATATTCTAAACATAGTTTTGCTTTGTTTCTTAACTTTATTGGTCATTCTCCTTCCTCTGCGTTAAAAAATAATTCTTTTTTGTAGTAAAAAGTAGATTTTCCAAGAAATTTTCTGAAAATAAATATCTGATAAATATTCGACAATGGCAACTTACTCCAATCCCCATTGGTTGCTGTGTCACATACGAAATTCATTTATATCCACCGATGATACAGGAATGTGTGAGACTGTTATGGTTAGTGATGATCTGCCCAAGCATTACCTCAAAAAGTTTCAGGGCAATGGAACACGTAATTTCCAACAGCAACAACAACGACGTTCCTTGATTGCTGGTCAACAACCTCCACAGCCGGTGCATCATCGTAATTATGATCCACCACTGCAGGAGGTTGATTTCATATGTTATCCTGGTCTGGATCAAAGTGATGATGAGGACGTGGACTTGACAGCTCAGTCCTTCGATATACAAATGTATCCAGAAGTGGGAGCTCATCGTTTTCGTTCGAATACGGCACAGAAATTGGAAGAAATGGATAGGGCTCGACGTAATGCGGCCCAAACCAAACGGGTTAACTATGAAGATGATGTTGTAAAGCCGGAGAGTAATGATTTCTTTCAACGGAAGCCTGTAAAAGCTCAGCCACCATTGGATGCGGGTAAAGACGGAGAGGGGGATAATAAATTGAAAAGTAAATTGTCGCTGAAATTGGCAAATAGTCCAAAACATGTGGAAAATAAATTCCAAAAATATGCTGAATTTGATGGCACATCACAGATTGGGGTGCCCGTCAAGACCATAAAGATTTTTATTAGCATGTTGCCGGAGAAGGAGAAAAACTATCCATTGAAAATATGTGTATTGTCCCATGCAAAGATATATCAGGTGAGTGGAGCGATAGAAATAATGGACTCTTTTTGTAATTGAGAACCTTTCTTTGTAGGTCATTGGTTTGGTGTGTTATAAAGCCTCCATAGAATTTCCGGATTTACCTTTGAAATCGGTACGCCACTATGGACTGTATATGACTGAAGATAATGATGATCTGGAGGAATTTCCCCCACTGGATAATGATGAACCATTTTCCAAATTTGGTTTCTCTCACCTAACATTGGCCGAAAGGAAAAATGTACCCCCTGCAACGGGTCCCACCAAATCGATGACATCTGAAGATGATAAGGCCCGCTTGGCTGCATTGGCTGTGAATTCACATAATAACAGTACAGCTGATGCCGATGATAGAGATGATGTTGATGGTGGTCCCAATAGCACCGGCATTGATGGCCGTGTTGATGATTTGGAGGAGCGTATTCTAAGTCAAGATGATATGTTGGAGGCCCCTGTTTATCGCACCTATACCCTCAATATTATCGATAAGAAATTCTTTAAAACTGAAGTCATTTTGGGTATATCCGGTGAACGCATTGAAATCGATCAACATAAACATGGTAAATTCTGGACAAAACAGAGAGCTGTTACCTATCCCATTGATGCTGTGGCACATTGTGAAATTGTCGAGAAGCGTACAATGAAAGCTGTGTTACGTATATGGTTGAAATCTGCCTCCGCCATTAACACGGCTAACTTGAATGATGGCAAAACTGGCGGAGGATTAAGTGTTACCGCCCATTCACCCACAAGTCCTGGACATTATCCACATTTTTCATCACCATTTAATTTCCTCGGCAGTTCATCGAATGCGGCAAGTTCATCCGCCGCCCATCCCACCTCATCATCGTCATCATCATCAACACAAAGTATACGTTTTAAACATTATGATTTTGAAACGACACTGCCAACAGCTGAACAAATTTACAAAAAACTTAATTGTATCCTGGAGATGACTTCGTCCGAGGTACGACGTGAATTCCTTAGCATAAAACAGCGTAAATTGGAAAAGAGTCAAGCTAAGAAGCATCTTAAATTGTAGTATCTAAAAAATTTCTATATGCAATGTTATCGTTATCTGTTGCATTCCTGTGTGACGGGAAAATGTAATGATATAAATGCTACAATATTGCAATTACAACAATCACAAAAATATCTAAAATAGATTTTAAGGTTATGATGAGGTGAAGTGGATTTAATCATACTGCAGTGCGGTAGTTAAAATATCACTTCTTAAAATTTCATAAATTATGGTTTATTTGAGTTTTCACATATGTAATCATCGGAAACTCCCTTCATTCTTTAAGAAGGAAAAATCAAAGAAATTTGTATTTAAATAATTTCCTTTCTATATCAACGCTCACCTCAAATATTACAATACATCATTTTGAACAACTTTTAACACAAATTCATAGTTTCAAAAGTATTTGTATCTCTAAGCTAATAATACTACATATATACATACATATTTTATATTTACATTTAAGTTCCAATTTTATTAATACGATTTAAGATTTAATTTTGTTTTGATTTTAATAAAAAAAAAACATAAATAATCTTAAATACTATCTACGTCACTTTATACATTAAAAGGAAATCATAAAAACAACAAATATTATAAACAAAAAATATAATAAGCGTATATTAAAAATGCAAAATCATTTTACGTGCACATCAAACTATGAGAGTTTGACATACTGTGAGTGAACTTGAAAAAATATCTATTAATAAACGGAAATAAAGGCTTAACGACATTTAAATGTTTATTAAAAATGAATGAGTATTTTATTATTGTGATTTATTAAGGTTGAGGTTTTAAAATATATTTAATAATACAAACTTCCGTTCTATGGGGAGAGAATCTATTAATAATCGGAAATATAGGTAAACAATATATAAATATGAATGTGTAATAAATATATTTTTTAGGTTATAGCAAAGCCTAGATTTTTTTTAAAGATCATTCTTATCTATACTAATACAAGAGTAATGTTACTGACTGACTAACGGCTGAAGCTGAAGAATCTTTGGCGAACCGGTAGAGCTAGAACCCCTAAATTTTAAATGATGGTCACTGATAGAGTGTAGAATATATGTAGCGAAGGGTTTTCTTTTGGACATTCGAACTATAAACATCCGAAAAGTATTAAATGTTCTAAATTTGGTACAATTTCGTAGCATGTGAATGGATAGGACTAAAAACTTGAAATTTGGAATGCGAATTAAGGTTGAGAAATAGTGTCGTTATAAGGAGGTGGTTTTACTGTACACGTGTATACGAAAAGTACTAAACTGTACTAAATTTTGTACAATTTGAATTCGGTGAAACGGATGGAGCTGGAATCCTGAAATTTGAAATCATCATTACCGTCGGATTGTAGGATAGCGATATGTAGGTAGTTTTGGAAATTTATTCATTTGTGTACGAAAAGTACTAAAAAGTACTATATTTGGTACAATTTGGATTTGGGTGAACCGATAGAGCTGGAACACTGAAATTTTGAAATAAGATTACTACTACATTGTAAAATTTAGGTATGTTGGTAGTTTGGGGAATTCGTACTAATTTGGTACAATATGAATTTTGGGTGAACCGAAAGAGCTGTAATCCTAAATGGTACTAAATTTGGTACAATTTGAAATTTGGGATAACTGATAGAGCTAGATTCCTAAAATTTGGAGTTTGGATTACTGTTGAGTTCTAAATGGCACTCAATTTGGTACAATTTGGATTGCATGATGTAGGTAGTAATGGACATTTTTTTTTACTTATGTGCACTAAAGGGTACACAATTTGATACAATTGGGATTTAGGTAAACCGATATAGCTGGAAAAATTTATAATTAATATTGGGGTATGTGAAGTGAACTAACTGATACTAATTTTGGATTTTGGATTTAGAAATAAGTAATTTTAGTATAGAGCTAGATTTATCTTATTGTGGTTTATGTAGCAGCCCTATTGCTTGTACACAATGGGCTGAGGTGACAGACGTTGGCCGAGTAAGACTCGAGTCAGTTCAAATCGTAGACCCCTCTGTCGTGAATACGAGATTTCTGTAGTGGTCAGAATTGGTGTGTAGTGTTGAGATATGGAGATGCTATTGAAAATACATAAGAGAACATAGGTATTAAATGGTACTAACAATATCAAAGAGTATAATTTCATAAGAATATTTTTGTGAGCTATATAAAAGCGTAGATTTTTTAATAAATATTTTTATTGGGCTATATTAAAAGGTAGCTTTTTAAGACTATTCTTTGAGGGCGATCTCAAAACATTAAAGGAATTTATTTTGGAAAAATATTTTTGGAGCTCTATATCAAAGCGTGTAATTTTTAAGAATATTATTTTGGGCTATATCAGATTTTTTTATGAATATTCATTTAGGGCTATATGATGGCTTATATATTTCATAGAAAATATTTTTGAGACTGTGTCAAAATGTGGAAGAATTGAGGGCTATATCAAACGCTATTCTAGGTAGATTGTCGGCTATGGTAGAGGGTCGATTGTTTTAAAATACTTTTTGAAGCGCAGATTTTAAATGAATTTTTTTGAAGGCCATATAAAACTGCAGTTGCATGATTTTTAAAGAATGTATATTTAGGGGCTATATGTAGCAGTGGGCGCAGCTTTGAGAGTAGATATTTTAACCCTTTCGGTGTCAAAAAATTTTTGTCGGAATAAAAATCTAAAATTTTGTATTTAAGATCATATAAAGGCACAGAGTTTAGAAATAAAGCAATTCCTAATTTAACACACGGACAGTTTTGCATTTCTCTCAGCAAAAACATCAATTGTAACGGTACATGGGATAACCGAAAAATCGCAAAGAAAGACAGTAATTTTAAATGTCGAATATATTCGACAAAAACACTGAAAGGGTTAACGATTTTTTCTTTAGTAACACTGCATCGATCGTAGATTTTTTCTAAGATGTTTTTTTGGCATTTTATAGAATATATTTTTGACAATTTTTTTTTTTTGGTACCGCAAAAGCCATCTTATTTATATCTTGAGTATATTTTACTTGTAGAGCCATGAAATATGGGTCATTTAATATAATTATCTAAATTAACATTATCGATCTTTTAAATATTGTGCAGATCGTTACGTAATTTTTCAAGATTTGGATAAAGTTTAAGGATGACATCTATATATTTTGGCGATGTTTCGTTAATATTTATGGGATCAAAGGGAATCAAAATTTGTATTTTTGTCTGTCTTTCTAATCGCTCTACATACCATATTTATCATCTAAAATCACGAACTTACATGGGTAATGACTCTGGGCAAGGAATAAGTAAGTACACTGGTTTCCAAAACTAAAGCAACTGAATAAATCAGCTTTAAATGGTTTTGAAAATAAAGTTATAGTGAAAGTTTTTTTTTTTAGAAATAAATAGGTAATTAATTCATTAAAAAAAGAACAAAAAATATAAACCTAAAATTTATTTTGAAATAAACAAATTTCTATGGAATATTAAATTGACTCAATTTTTGCATGGTCAAAACTAAAGCAACTTTTTAATTATTTCTTATAATGAAGCAATTTTCGTTAGTAATCGACACCATTACCGTTTTTCATTACGACAGAACTACTACGAGGCATTCAATTAATAAAATGTTGAATTTGATTTGATAAAATGCTGAGGTTATGACTGTTTTTTTTTTTGTAAAACACTTTTGATTTCGCTATCATTGATACTGCAAAGATTTTCTACAGGGCAAATATATGATGATTGTGCCATTATAAAACCCTGATTTTTGACTCCCGCAACCAAACATTGACATGTTTTGGTGTATGTTTAGAGGTTATTGTCAAGCTGAAACACCCAAACAAACGGTATAATTTCTGCAGCGGAGGGAACCAAAGCGTTTTCCAACACATTTGTATAAACAATCCTATACATTACTCCACAAATCCCGTGTAAAAAGATCGAATTTCAGAAAAACAAAAATAGCCCAATGCCATTATTGACCCGCCTGCATGCTTCCCAGTACCCTTTCAATGCTGTGGCATTTCATTTTTGACATTTCTCACGGTAATTTTTTCATGTCTGAGTCTTTAATTTTTGAAGTTCTCAACAAGACATGGATTTTTTATGATTATTTTTTGAAGTCCTCAACAAGGCGTGGATTTTTAAAAAATATTTTTTTGATGTCCTCAACAAAGCGTGTATTTTTAAAGACTATTTTTTGATGTCCTCAACAAGGCGTGGATTTTTAAAAATATTTTTTTGAAATACTCAACAAGACGTGGATTTTTAAGGAATATGTTTTTGAAGTCCTCAACAAGGCGTGGATTTTTAAGACTATTTTTTTGAAGTCCTCAACAAGGCGTGGATTTTTAAAGATTTTTTTTTTGAAGTCCTCAACAAGGCATGGATTTAAAAAATTAAGGCGTGGATTTTTAAAAAACAGTTTTTTGAAGTCCCTAACAAGGCGTGGATTTTTAAAGAACAGTTTTTTGAAGTCCTCAACAAGTCGTGGATTTTAAAAAACAGTTTTTTGAAGTCCTCAACAAGTCGTGGAATTTTAAAAAACAATATTTTTTTCAAAACCTAAATCCACGCATTAAAAAAAGTATTTTTTGAGGACCTCAAGAACAGTTTTTTGAAGACCTCATAGGGCGTGGATTTTTAAAAAACAATATTTTTTTTCAAGGACCTAAATAAAGCGTGGTATTAAAAAAAGTATTTTTTGAGGACCTCAAGGGTGTGGATTTTTAAAAAACAATATTTTTTTCAAAACCTAAATCCACGCATTAAAAAAAGTATTTTTTGAGGACCTCAAGAACAGTTTTTTGAAGTCCTCATAGGGCGTGGATTTTTAAACAACAATATTTTTTATCAAGGACCTAAATAAAGCGTGGTATTAAAAAAAGTATTTTTTGAGGACCTCAAGGGTGTGGATTTTTAAAAAACAATATTTTTTTCAAGGACCTAAATAAAGCGTGGTATAAAAAAAGTATTTTTTGATGACCTCATATTTATTTTTATACCCTTCACCACACTGTGGTACAGGGTATTATGTCTTTGTGCATATGTTTGTAACAGGCAAAAGGAAACGAGATAGACCCATGGTTCCTTTTGAGAATATGCATAGAATCA